CCATGGAGCCATCACTCCATGTCCACACAGCCCTTGCTTTTTAGTCTGCCTTCCCATCCACACTACAGGTTCCTGAGGCCGAGATGATACCTCTGACCCCACACCCTCTCAGGACATTAGTGCAGCTCTTGGCCCAGAGAAGACCCTCCATCCACTGTGGGTGAATGCCAGGAGTCCACATTTGTTGAGCACCTACTATAAAATCAGGTGCTCTTCTATGTGCTTACAGGCCTTAGCTCACTGTATGCGCATAGCTTCCCTGTGAGGCTCCGGCTACTCTTTTCTCCATTTCATAGATTGGAAAACTAACAGCTCAAAGGTTATACAGTTGGTCAGTGGTAGAAGCCAGCAAGGCAGTCTAACTTTGGAACAGAGCTGCCCACAGAAATAGGATGTGAGCCACATGTGGTATTTTAAATTCTCTGGTAGTCATATTAAAAAAAAAAAAAACAGATGAAATTAATTTTAATAATATGTCGTATTTAACTCAGTGTATCTAAAATATCACTTTAACACGTCATCACGTAAGACATTATTAATGAGATACTTTATAATCTGTTTTGCATACTAAGTCTTCAAAATCCTGTGGGTTATCTTACAGACTAGCCACGTGTCAAGGGCTTAGTAGCCACAGGCAACTGCACTGGCCAGCAGAGCTAGTGGTCAGCACCCTGGACAGTGGCCCCAGAGCCCAGCACTCTCAACCACTTCTCTGCTTAAATGGATAAAGGAGGAAATGAATGAATACAAGTCCCCAGGACCCTTGGGCCTGATCTTTCCTTGATAATTACTAATGCTTAATACTTTATGGCTCTTTAGAGTCTCTCTGGCACTATTTTGTCTGCCATAGAGATTATTAACCCTGTACCATGGACGAGGATTACGGAGTAAAGAGGGGTCAAATGCCTTTCTTTGACACATTGCTGCAGGTGACAGAGCTGGGCCTTGAATGCACAACTTTGGACTCCAAGTTCTGTGCTCTGTGTGGGGTGGGACACAGCTGCCCCTTGAAGGAGGACTGTCTCCATCTGGCAAAGGAGGGTGTCTGTTTAGACCTCAGGCTGGGCTGGCCGCTGGGGATGGGAGCCCCATTTTGTTCAGGCCCTGGAGGAAGTGATGCCCTTGGTGAGTGGCAGGGCAGGCACAGGCTGAGGAAGCAGATGGGGCCTGTGCCAGGTCCTCTGTGGGAAAGAACCTTGTCATTCTTCAGTCTCAGTTTGGCCACAAGAGGCTGAGAACAAATTGATGGCAATGGAGCCATAACTTACCTCTGAAGGCCTCTTTGTTCTTGGCAAAACAGAGGGGTCATTAGTTATGGCAAAAGCACTGGTGTGCAGACATAACATAAATCCCCCCAGCTGCAGGGCTGATAAACAGCCCGGAGGGGATGGGGGCCTCAAGGAGCCAAGCAGGTTAACCGCGTGCCATGGATCACTCATGGGCTCAGACCTGTGTCCCACCCACATGCAGACAAAGCCACCCCCTGCCCAAGCTCTGGAGGTGCCCAGAGACTCAGTCACCCACAGTGGCCATCAGGACTCACACCTGGCTCCAGGAACCCCTGAGATCCTCATTTTTCTTTCAAATGAAAATGGTTCCCTAGCATCTAGGGTGGGAGCAGGCTCCCATGGGGTACTCAGGGCCAGATTGGGCCAGTCAGCATGAAGGTGCCTCTGTGGGCCTCCCTTCTTTCTGCTTCAAGCCAAACAGACACTGGCTGAGCCTCCTAGGAAAGGGCTGAGACTTCACAGCACTGGAAAGGCAGGTGTGTGAGGCCAGATCCTTGGCAGACAAAGTGCTTTGCAACAATGTCTACTGGTCAAGAGAAGCAGAGATGAGGCTATATCCTAGTTTTCTGCCTATCTGCTTCCCTGGAGACGTCATCCTCCTGCCTGCCTGCCTGCTCTAGGCTCACACTGAGGCTGGATTACAGGGAGGCCATGCCAGCCCAGGGCCAGGGAGAAGGGTGGGCAGGAACAGGTGGGTGGACAGCCAGGTCAGCCAGGTACTCAGGATGGGGAGGGAAGGAAAAGGGAAGGACTGCCCTCAAGCTGCCTAAAAAGAATTTGGGTGGGGTTGTGGGTTGCGTAGTGACAAACACCCATGAGAGAGTTAAAGAACCATCAAGGCCACCCTGCAAACGAGGTCCAAGTGCTATCTTAGCAAGGACGGCAACTATTTGCCGCTGGTGCTGTGTGCCCTCTCTCTTTCTGCACCCATAGCAGACTCTACCAATTGAATACCACACTGAGCCTGCTTGGCTTCAAGCAGCCGTTACCAATCAATCACAGTTGGCATGTGAGAGGAAACCCATTTGTCATCCTTTCTAAAAGCCCTCAAAGCACATTTTTGCTGGCAGTGGAAATCCTAAAATGCTATGCTAAGTGCTGCAAGCCTTCTGGAAGTTTCTGCCTCCCGCCTCCCATCTTCACGCACATCACCTACCTGTAGTTTCACATCCTGGGTCTCCCTTCTCAACCTGCTATTCACACTTGGGCACCTGGCCCAGGAGAGTATGCCCCTGGAAATCTCAGAGTACACTGCCACAGGCAACTGTCCCCAGCCCAGACACCAAAGGCTCAGCAGCTCTGCCCTCCGACCTCCTGATGCCAGGGGAGGGGGTGAGGAAGGAGAGCTGGCTAGGGCCATCTTTTTTTTTTTTTTTAAAGATTTTATTTATTTATTTGACAGAGAGAGACACAGCAAGAGAGGGAACACACGCAGGGGCAGAGGGAGAGGGAGAAGCAGACTTCCCGCCAAGCAGGGAGCCCGATGTGGGGCTTGATCCCAGGATCCTGGGATCCTGGCCTGAGCTGAAGGCAGACACTTAACGACTGAGCCACCCAGGTGCCCCTAGGGCAATCTTTAAGGGCTGGAGAGGGCCTGGGGTTCTGAGGCTGGTGGCCTGGCACCCAGAAGGAACTTAGATGGACAAATACCCTGGAGGATGGCCTCTCAGTGTCACGCAGGAATTTCCAGTCTGGTCATGACCACAGGCTAGCTCCTGGCTCCTTGCTTCCCACCTTCATTTGGCTGGGGTATGTCTGGAACCAGCCCACAGGCAATGAGATGAGGAGACAATCCCCCACCCAGCCAGGTGTCCCTTTATGCTGCCACCTTATCCTGGTGCCTCAACTCTACCACTCTTGGGGCTCACTGGTGTTCCCTTAGGTCTCCAGCACAAGCCCCTTGTCCCTGGGGGGCACTTGGTTTGCTTCCCAAATTGAAAAAATCATGAAGAAAACCAGTACCAGCATGGGCCTCCCTTCTCCTCTGCTTAGCAGGAGAGGGCCCCCTAATTCCTGGGGAATTCTGCCTTCTTGCAGAATGGCTTCCTTCCTTCCTAGGACTAGTTTTCCCACATCCTAGCCTAAGGACCCTCTGCATCTGGGGAGCTGTGAGAAAGGGCTATTCTGGGGTCCCACCCCAGTTTCACAGAACGAGAATCTCTGTGGGTGCCAAGGACTCTGTATTTTTGGTAGGAGCTCCAGGTGATTCTTGGGCATATTGGAATTTGAAAACCCATGACCCAAGAATCACATTCCTTCTCTCCTCCCTTCCTTCATTCCACAAGTACACATTGGGGTTTACTCTGCTGAGTCCTGTGCTGGGTACCAGAATGGGGAGGAAATGGGGTTGGGGAGGAGGGGCCTGAACCCTTGCTGCTGCTGCTGACCACATGAGCCGGTCTGGCATTTGCTTTGGGGCCTGGGGTACCCTGGGCTTAACGACATGATAGTAGTCATACTGGCAGCTGCAGGTCACAGGGAGCCCACAATGCCCCCGATTTCCTGCATCCCTAAGGAGGGGGAGGGTCTTCCTCCCACGAGCTAACTCCCAGCTTCCCAAGGTTATTATTAGCTGCCAGCAATAACAACAACAACAACAAGTAACACGTATAAAGGAACTTACATCCATGAATTAGGTTCTCTACATATATTAAGTCTTCTGACCCTTAATCACCCAAGATAGTAAGCACTTCTTATTGTTCTATACTTCTATACTGAGGTATAGAGACCCACCTGAGGCAATATGCTCACGAGACTCCATCCTCTATGTTCTTGATCATTACACCTTGGTGTCTTTTGAGCTTCAGGGGAAAAAATGTCCCCCAAATGTCACTCCCTGTTGTGGGGGTGTGGTCGGGAGAGGCGATGGGGTAGACACAAGCCTGGTGGCTTGCCATCCTCCTGGCCATCAGTCTGGCCTGCCCAGATGCGCGAGGCTGACCCTGCACTGACTAGGGGGCAGGGCAGGAGGCCACCTGTGGGGTGGGGTAGGAGCATGGGGACAGAGCCAGTCTGTGGAGGAGTGAGCAGCCCTCATGGGCCTCTCGTCGACTCCCTCTCTCCAAAGCCACTCAGCCCTGGGACAGCCAAATGGAGCTACTTGGTCCATCTTTAGGTAGGCATGTGGGGTCAGGGATCCCATCAGCCAGAACCTTCTCTGCAGCCAGGCACTATTCTGCCTAACCAAGCGATGGGGCGGGAGAGGAGGGGGCTCTGTGCATCCCCTGCAGCACTCCTGATGAGACAAGAACTCCTAATGGTCAGAAATGTGAAAAGAGCATGAAATCAGGTGAAATTGCAGGTCTATTCATCCTAAAATGATGCACAAACTGCCACCTTTTCATCAAGTCAGAAAAGCAAAACAAAGAAACACCCACAGCACTGAAGGAGGTAGATGGGAGTCCCCAGTGACCAAGGCTCAGAAACCCAAGGTGCTCAGATGCCGCGGACCATGGACAGTGGCACATGCTCCTGTCCCCCAACACCACCCAAGCGGCCCCCAACATCTGAGCCTCAGTCCCCAGCTCCTCTCCTCCTCCCCAGCACCTCCCTCCTTCATCCACTTCGTCCCCTTCCGAGGCCTTCTGCCCAGCGTTTTCCCTGGGGGCTGGTCCCCTCATACCACGGTCCACACCCCCAGACCTCTGCTCAGACCTGCAGAGCCTGACACTCCTGCAGTGGGGATGGGGGGCGAGGGCGCGGAGCCCTTACCTGAGACGATGGTGTAGCCGATCCCCCGGGGACGTCCTTTATCCTGGTCGACAGCGGTGATAACGCGCACCGTTGTGCCCTGGGTAGGAGAGAGGAGGGACCTTATTTGGCTGCCCAGCCCCTGGGGGGGCCATCTTTTTTTTTTTTTTTTTGGCTCTCTTGGCACCTGCAGCTTCCCTCCCCAGGTAAGTGGAGTCCCTGCCACCAGGCCAGCCTAGGAAGTAGCTACTGAGGGCTCGGGTCTCAGCTGTCCCCATCAACCCGGGGACATAACACTGAGGCCTCGGCAAACAGCTCAGAGTCCCTTGGAGAGGCCCGATCTTGCTGATGCTCTCATTCCCCCTTCCCGTCTCCCCTCCATCTGGTGTAACCACCCAGGAAAGAGGGAAAACAAGCTGGGGGACAAGAGATCTGGTCTCTATCTCAACCACCCATCAAATTGCTGTGTGACCTCAGGAAGGTTGCTGTACCTTTCTGATCTCAGTGTGCCCTACCTTAATATGAATAACAGCAAAATCCCTGGGGCCCTGCTTTCACTGGGACTTGAGTAAAGGAGAGCATCATGGATCAATCACTCTACTAATGAACGCATCATAAATCCTGAAAGTACTGACCCCCGAGGCCACCATGGCCCTGTGAACCATGCCCTATCCAGCACTGCCACAGCAGCTCCTGCCTCCGTTGACTTTGTCCCACATCCTGTTTCTTCTCCCTGCAGCACTGGGGGGGAAGGGGCCAGGATCTGAGACTACCAGGATGGGGCTTCAGGGGTCTCTGCTCTTAGGGCGCATGCAGCCTGTGGCGAGGGGTCAAGGACAGATTCACAGACACTGCTATACACATCTAAGAGTGCTCAGATGCAGAAATGTACCCCGAAGTATAGAAGTCCACCTGGAGGACCTGGCAAGGGGTTGTACAGACAGCAACATTGAGGATGGGTCACGAAGAAGGAGTGGGAGTTTGCCACGGAGAGAAGTTGATACAGAAGGCAAAAGACAGAGCACAGGCAGGGACTTGGGGGCATAAGACTCTCGAGGAAGGGATCCTGGCATGAATGGGCACATTCAAATATCAGCTGATGGACTGGTTGGTTGATTGAATAAAGGGATGCACAAAAGAGGATTCTGACATCACCATTGCCGCCGCCACCACCTGCTGAGTCTCTCCTTGCCCACGGTGACCTTCACCTTCCTCTCCAGCCCTATCACACCATTGTCCGGCCAGCCAAGCCTGTCCACCTGCCTGCCTGAAGTTCTGGCTTGGGCTGCAGTCTCCCCTGGTTGATAACCAGCAGGACAGCCGGTCCCCGTCCCCTAGGGAAATATCAACCCTGGCATTCACACGTCTAATGACGATCTCTTGTGGCCTTGATAGGCTGCCTCTCACCCATTTGCTGTCCATCAGCTAGAGGTGTGAAGTCTGCTGGCTGTACCCTCCACCCCTACCTGAGCACCTCCTCCTGTGGAGAGAGTCTTGTTCTCTGACCTATAGGCCCTCTGATCAGTAGGGTGGGGCCCTGGGGGCAAGACACACAGGGGCACCCCCACCTCACCCTCCCAGAGCAGGGCTGTCCCTGTGCGGCTGTCGCTCCATCCTCTCCCAGGCCCAGGAACACCTCTAGCTTGGGCTGAAGGAAGGCGAGAATGTTCCAGGAGAAACGGTTCCCGCAGAAACATGGACACAGCCCTGAGACCAGGGCCGTGCAGAAAGCAGGTCTGGCTCCCTCCTTGGGGCCTCTTCCCCTGGAGAGACAGGAGCTCGGGCTACATCCCCTGGGGGAATAGACTGTTAAAAAATCAGAGAAAGACACCATTAAATGAGCCTCTCCCCAAGCAGGTTCTGAGGACCTGAACTGTGACCAGCTTTGAGGGCCCTGTTCTTTCCCGAGCACCCCCTCTGCGCCCGGTGCTGCTGCAAATGCCTTCTATGTACTAGTTCCACCCTCACACCCACCCCAGAAGCCCCATCTTCTAGATGAGGAAACTGAGGAATTCGAGTTAAATGGCCTTGCCAAGGTCCCACTGCAAGGAAGGAATGGTGAAGCCAGGGTTCAAAGTCAGGCACTTTGGCTCCAAAAAGCTCTCGCCCACCAAGCGATGCCACTCCGTCCCACGTTCTGTTATAATAATGGTAACTGTCATTTATGACCGCCCTTGCTATGTGGCAGGCACTAATCTACGCACTTCACGAGCATTAGCTCATGTCAAATTTGGGACAACTTACATATCCCACCATTCCCTTGGGCTTCGATGTAGTAATGGCTCCTCAAAGTAGTAAAGTGACTTAAAACAAAACAAGACCACCGCAACCCTGTTAACCTTTGTTCTCCTGGGCTTTCTGACCTGATGACAGACTCTTCCCCCGTAATATCTGCTAACGGCCCCAGACCCAGGCATCTGTGGAGGGTCACTGCAGGGTCTGCTCGAACAGCTTCCCCCAATGTCACCCCACAGAGGGATCTTTTTTGGGGGGGTCTACCCCTCTAGGAACCACTCCTCACACAGGAGAGGCCTGGGTTTGCCCCCAGGAGAAGGTCCCCCACAGTGTGGGACTCTGGTGTGAGGCTCAGGTGTCAGGACATGGGGACGACTCCCTCTTTTAGAGCCCCATCTGGCCTGGTCCCAGAAAGTGTCTCAGTTGGAGGGTCTGCTGAGGACAGGGACAAGCCTGCCAGTGTAACTGGGTCCAGAGCCTCCAGAGCACCTTTCCAGAAAGTCACTAAACAGTATAACTCCAGGGGCAGCTGCATGGCCCCAGGCATACAACCCAGGAGTGGCTGTGCTGAGCCGGGCCTATAGATAAAGGACAACTACAAGGACAAGTATACCACAGGAGGTCTGGAGGGGTGGGCAGCGGTGGCCTATGCAAAGATGGGACCTGGTGGCCAAAGCACCCTCAGGTCTCAGAGCCTTGCGAGCGTCTCGCCATGGGCACCTCCACCGTGGGCTGCCTGGAGGCTCGCGGACAGGTGGGCCTCAGAGGCGGCCAGTGGGCAATCAAGACGGGAGGACAGGGAGGCTGGCTCTCCCCAGGAAGAGCCACCCTGAGCTTCTGGGAAGTGAGAGCCAACAGGCTCCTGACAAAGTTTGGGGTTTCATCTCTTTTTGGGTAAATAAATCCATTTTTAATAAAACCCTGAGCTTTTAATACAAGTGCAGCCACAAAGACTGGAAATGTTATAAGAAGGAATTAACGGGGAGGAATGGGGGCTCTTGGGATCCCACAGCTCTTGTTTCAGAGTCTTAGTAATTATATTTTCAATATACTGAAACTTATTTCCAAAGACGAGGGAATGGAGAAGCATGGCCCAGAGCCAGGCCCCTTACTGGCTGGCTCTCCAGATCGGGGCGGGGGTGGGGGTATGCACCAGCACGTGGCTGGGAGAGCAGGTGGGCAGGCCCAGGAGGTTCAGAGAAGGGTCCACCCTGCCATGGGGCTCCTCCTGTCACAGGAACCCACGTTGTAAGGAAATGAGGCACCCCCCCCGCCTCCGCCACCCTGAGAGGCTAAAGGAGCACAGGCCTCCAGGGCCCCGGCTCCTTGTGGTGGGAAGAGCAGTATGGTGGGGGGTTAAGGGTTTGACTCCGTTGCCAGACTGTCTAGGCTCAAATCCTTTGAGTGAGTTACTTGATCTCTCACTGGCTTGTTTTCCCCATCTATAAAATGGGTATAACAGCCCCCACTCCTCAGCAACTGATATGTGTACAGCGCTTAGAACCACACCCAGTACACAGCAAATGCTATAAAAGTGACTGTCACCGTTCAAGCATCTGATGAAAGCTCAGGTGTCTCTTTCCAGACACTGCCTGCCAATGCTGTGCCCCACAGTTTCAGCACATTTGGACTCCCTAGCACCCCAGATTCATAATCCGTACCCTGGAGCAAAGGCGTCTTCTGGGTGTTAGAGAGACAGAACAGCTAACAGCCCAGGAAGGGCTAGCACTCGTTAAGTACCTACTCTGTACCAAGCACTGTGCTGGGCACCCAACAGAGGTACTCTCAAGTTTTCCTCACAAGCCCCAACAAGGGGGAGTGTGCGAGGAAACAGGCGCAGAAGGTTCCGGCATTGGCTTCAAGTCACAAGGTGTGGTCAGCGGGTGGGGCGAGGGTGACTGGGGAATGGAGGCCTGTGCTGGGGTGGGTCTGGGGGACTCCACTGCTCTGTGGCAGAGGGGACAGGCCCAGGGCTTGACGCCCAGTAAGGCGTGCCGAAGACAGGGGTGGGCGAGGGGTGCGAGGCAGCCCCGGCCTCTGAGGTTTGGGTACTGGTGAGGAAGTCCAGGCAGATTTGAGAGGAGCTGAGACTCCTCTAGAAGGAGCTTGTGTCTCCCCTTTCTGTGGCCTGCCTTTCCCAGAGCAGCCGGCCGGGACAGGAGCTGGAGCGGGAACCCACGGGGCGGTGGGGGCCTCAGGGGTCCTGGCCCATCTCTCTCCCCTGGGACCGCCTTCCCCATTTCCATGACAGGATTAAGGACTGGAAAGGTGGACGACGGGCAGTCTGCTCTGGGAGTGGGAGGTGCCTGTGGGGGGATGGGCGTGGGGGCTGGAGGGGACTTCCGACAAGAGCTGCCACAGGAGATTCTGAGGCAGAAAATCCTATTTCTCAGGCCTTAATTCCAGTCAATTCCAGTCAAAGGGCCGATAGGCATCAGCTGGCAGTAATTTGTGCAGTTTATCCGCTCTTTTCACCTTCTATCGGTCCTTCCCTGACGGGCAGGCCGACATGCCGCTGCTCGAGTGAGGAAATTAAAATTTGATGCAATAATCCCAAATAAGAAGGATTTTATTAGGTAATATATACACTTTAGATGAGGCATGCTGGCCCGATACAGCGATAGAGAGAGGCATACGTGCTGGGAGCCACAGATAAAGGGGAGGGGTGAGGCAGAGCGGGCAAGGGTCCGACCGGGGGCCCCGGGCCGGCGGCGGCCAGGCTGGGAGTGGGGACGCCTGGGTCCTCAGGGCAAGGAGGCTGAAGAGGCCACGGCGCTCCCTGGCCCTGGCCAGCCTGCGAAGTACGGGGTCAAGTCAGGGCTCCACACTGTAAAGCAACATGCAGGGACCGGATCAAGGCATGGAAACCGATTAGAAGCCTGGAAAAATCAGGCTTGGAGCACAAGGGAATTGGCCTGCAGCAGAAAAAGCTGTGCTAGAGACACGGAAATGGGAGCACTCCTTTCACGTGTGGGGGCGGGGCGGGAAGGCAGAGCCGTGCGCACCGGGAGATGATCCTGTGGGCGCCCTGGGGGGAGTCCGACACCTCCCACTTACTTCCTTGTCTGGCTCCTCCGAGCCCCGTCGTGACCCAAGTGGTGGGGCTCAGGCCTGCCCCCCGGCAGCTCCCGCGGCACTGGCTTTAGCGGTCTCACAGTGCCCAAGGGACAACCGACTCACAACCACTGCGAGTGAATGCCTTGCTGGGGACTCTACACGAGCACGAGCATGTGATCTCCACTCCTTAAAACCCTCAGGGTAATGGAGGCCCTGCTGCAGACATTACCAGTCCGTTTCCCCGTGAGGCAGCGGTCCACAGTGCGTGGGATTTGGCCAAGGCGAGTGCAGGGACCTGCTCCGAGTTTCTCTGGCTACGTGGCCACCATAATGTCCTCACTTCAATCAGCAAGTTAGCTTTGAGCACCTTCTCTGCACTCAGCCCTGGGCCCGATGTCCTGGGGGACCAGGTCCCAGAGACTCAGGCTCCTCAATTACCAGAAGCTCCAAAATAACCCACCTGCACGTTGGTGAGCATCATAGGTGCAACTATAATTCAGTGGTAAATTATGCAAGCCAGGGAGAGTCCACTCTACCGGAGCTGAGGGGAAAGAAATGGCTGGCTATGTCTGTGGGCTGGTGGGGATGAAGCCAGGGGGAAAATTTCTAAGAAAGGTGGCCAGTAAGCTGGGAAGCAACAGACGGGCAGATTTTGGATTGGTGACAGGAACAGGCATGAGGATGATAGGATGGTGAGGGACTGGTCTGACCAGGGCATTGTTCATTTGATTGTTCGTTCGTTCGTTCATTCATTCATTCATTCATTCATTCATTCATTCCACAAACACATCCTTAGCACCCCTGATGTGCTATGCCCACAGCAGACCCCATCCTTGCTGAACTATGCGTCCGGTCCAGCAGGGAAACAGAGGCTGAGCAAGCTGTCCAAAGGTGCTGAGTGCTAAGAAGGGGATGTCCAGAGGCCAGGGGCAGTTGGAAGGGCCCACCTCCTCTGAAAGGTCAGGGAAGGCCTCCCTGGGCTGAGAAGATGTGGGCGTAGCAAAGAGATTTTTGAAGGAGATAGCCTTTAGTCTCAAAAGCCAGAGGACCTGCTGTCCATGGACCACTAAGAAAGAGCACATTAGGGTAGGGGGCATTGAGATGTCCCCCTCTACCCTAAATTCAGCTTCAGACACCTGCAACAGGAGACCAAAGGGCATCTTGCTTGTTAGATCTTCCAGCCCACACCCGGCCCCGATAAGGAAGTGGCTACCTCCAGACCTTCCTGGAGACGGAAGCGGAGTGCTTTGAGGATGCGATGGTCAGGATGGACCACAGTCTCCAAACTGGAGGTCGGCCTTCCCTGGCCTGTGGTGGCCTACAGGTACAGTCTGCACCCCGGCCAAGGGAAGCCTGCCTCTCACTCATACCTCATTCTGTGAGCCCGTGCAGGTGGGGCCCCTAACACCCACATGTTCAGGTGGGTGCCCTACTTGGCTCTCAATGTTGTGCATCCTTCCTGTAAGCACACTGAGTTCCCTCAAAAGGAAGGGCACATTTTTCTTTCTGTAAGAGCGTCCCCCCAAGCTGCATGTCCAGGGGGGTTGTAGCTGCCCAGAGGAGCCAGCTTTTCTTAATTTAGCAGCGCAGTGTGTGTGTGCTTTATTCTAGTTTGTACAGAAGCATGGATGGCTACCAGACCAGGGCTGGGTGAGCAAAGCTGCCCACCCCCAGCCCCTGCCAAGTGGGCAGTAGCATGTTTGGTTCTTTAAGACCCCCGGTCTTAAAGACTGGACCAGAGGCAGACACAGGGCCCAAGGGCAGCCAATTTATAGCCTGGCCGGAGATCTGTGACCTTGTGACATGGCACAAAATCAGGAGCACAACCAATCAGATGCCTCTTTTGAAAACGTGGGACTTGAGAAATCCAAAGATAGAGCAGTTAGAGGGGCAACTGGAGCTGTGTGCTCTCCGAGAAGAGCCAAGCCTGAGAGGACTGGGGAGTGGAGAGCAAAGTGCTGCCATCGTGGGCAGTGCTGGTTGGCTGAGAGAGGCAGACTGCCCTGTGGGGAATGTGGCTGAGCCCAAATATGATTTGGTAAGCCTGGCTGAGTCCAAGTCTGCTCTCCAGACCAGGCTGGTTCCACAGGCGTCTCTCTCACCCCATGTCAATCTTTCTGAACTGCCCCCCTTAGTTTATACTAGGAAGTCTTTGTGTTTTTACCCCTTGGAGCCCTCCAGGGGTGAAGTTAGAGGGTGAGGACATGGGGCGTGGTGGTGTGGTATGAAGAGGGGGTTGGGCTTTCACCGGGCTAAGACACCCAACACTGACATGCATAGGGATTGAGGAGAGTAAGAAACGCCAAGGAAGAGCCTGTCCGGCCAAACAGGGCTCCCATCCCTAAGAGAAGCTCAGACGGAAGTCCCACGGGGGCCAGGGAATGTCTTACCGGAGGAGAATGCTCATAGATGTTAGTGCTGTAAGGCAGGTTGATGAAGATGGGGTCCATGTCCTGGACATCTGTGATGATGATGGCTAAGTTGGCCAGGGTGGACAGAGGCCGGGTCTTGTCTTGATCCTTAGAGGACGAAGAACACACAGCCTTAGGGGGTGACACTGTTGACACGCACACGCGCGCACGCGCGCACACGCACACACACATCTGAACACATATGACACCCATGTGCACAAACATGTGTGCCCAGGGATGCAAGTGCTCCGGGACTCCTGTGGGAAGAGCATTACTACACAGAAGCTCGAGAACTCGAAGAACCCACAGTGATCTTTGACCTGTGCAGGAAAACATAAACAGGGCCCTGCAGGCCCGGCAGAAGGTGGCTTGTCCAATGTCACAAGGCAGGGTTGGATAGAGCCAGATCTCCTGCCCCCAGCCCAGCCTCGGCCTGATCACCCGGGACATGCCATGGGTGGGATGACTGGCTTGGGGTCAAGAGATGGTGCCATCCTTTGCAACTTCTCTTGATTCAGACAGAGGGCCACTGGCCCTCGCCATATCAACTTCCTGCCCCCTCTCATCCCGGGGCAGCAAGGGAATGACCAGGATGGGTGCTGCTCAGAAGAAAGGCCCTTGGACAGCAGAGGGGGCCACTCTGAGACCTGCACCCCCGCCCTGCGCCCAAGGTTTACTGGTCAGGCAAGTTTTCTGGCAGAACCAGCAGGGGGAGCTCCAGGGCCTGTGACATTTGAGGGACTCCAGGAAGAAATCCTGAGAAGTCATGCGGGCCATCCCCCTGTGGCCAGGCAGGCAATGTTTAAACCCCCCTCGTCAGTTGGAAATTTAGCCTTAGGAAAGCTCATCAAGAAAGGATACCAGAAACACAGCTTCTATAGCCCTAACATACACCGCCCACCATGATAAACTGTTTAAAGAGCCCTCTGTTATTGAATGACAATAACCCATGGGAACAGACTCCATGCTGAGAGCGGATTACGTAGCAGGCACCGCGCTGCACCTTGTTTGCTTCTGTGGATACCACGTGCCCATTACTCAGATATATTAACGGAGACTCAGAGAGGTTATTCAGAGATGAGACTCACAGAGACAACTTGCCCAGAGTCAAACAGCTGGTAAGTGTGTGGCCAGGACTCAACTCAGATCCTTCTGCAATGAAAACCTGCCCAAACTGCTTTGATTTGGGGCCCTAACATCAGCTCAGGCCCTGACTTGCTGGGTCGCTTCGAATAGATTCTCTTCCCTCTTGGGGGTCTCAATTTCCTTCTCTGTGAGATGAAGGGGCTCAATGCAAGGACCTCCATGGACCCTTGGGCCTGTAAATTCTCTGGTCTGGGATTTGAGGAGCGACTGCGCTCTGATTAGGTCTTCCTTGGTCTGGGGGGACCGGAGCAATGCAAAGCATTCCTCCCATTACAACAAGCCTAGAGCCTGCTCCTGCCCTCCAGATACAGAAGTGCAGCAGAGCCTCTGGGAAGGGAAGGCAGGTTGTCCTAAGAGCCCTCAGGGGCAGCCACGGAGAGGGCGAGGGACTTTGGGGCTGAGGACTGGGTGCAGCAGGGTGGAGGAGGTCTGGACGCAGGAAGAGCTGGGCGGAGGGTCCACTGGGGAGACAGCCTCTCGGGCTCCAAGACAATGGAAACCCACGGCCCAGGCTTGGGGACTGCCCCTGGTGTGAGAGCTCTCAGTCAGGGACCTGAACAACCAGGCAGACAGGGCCAGAGTAGGAGGAACAGAAGTCCCTTGACCTTTTGAGCAGCGGAGGCCAGTGGTTCTCATTTGCCATTACCAGGCTTTGTGTGTAGGTGGCTTTGTCCAGCCTGGCACCTGCCCTCCCTGTCCCACAGCCTCAGGGCCACAGCCCTGCTCCTGCCACAGATCCCCGCATCCAGCCTACCTCAGACTCCGGGGCTGGGGAAAGGGGATGGCAGTGGACACACCTGGCTGGGCAGGCACCTTGCCAGGCTCCCAGCTAGCACTCTCAGCAGCCGCTCCCCGGGAAGTCCTCCCATTTCCCCACCTGCTGCCCACCCAGGGGTGGCTGGGAGCCCACACTGCTCCCTGTGACGCCCCACAGGAGAATCTCCTTGGGGAAATGTCCAGCAGCCAAGGGCACAGCACCAGGCTTGAGGGCGGCTGCGCTTCAGGTGAGGGAGCCATCTGCACAGGAGGGCCCCTCCTGTTCCGCAGCTTCCAGGCCTGCTCGCCAGCAAGATTAACAGCAATTTAACTGTATTCACCATCTCAGCTGGAGCCCAGGCCTCTTGACAGGTCCGGCCACCCAGGTTCTTGCCTGCGCCCGGCTCTGGTCTCTTCCCTGCCTGCCCAAAACCATTTTCAGGGAAGATGGAAATTACTCCATAGGGATACGTGCATAGCAAGAAAGAGAGCAAGCATCTGTGTGTTTCTGGGCCCCGGCGTGTGCAAATGGAGGGCAGCTGGAGGGGCACCACGGCTGTGTGTGGGTGCGAGGCAGCGCGCAAGGGCACAGGTGCATGCAGAGAGCGGGTTCCGGTCTTACACACCCCCTTGATCCCAGAAGTCAGGTTTACGAAGAGCAGGACAGACGACCTCCCAGGCAACCCACACTTAACCAGGGGAGAAGGAAAGAATGTGAATGGCACCCGCAGTGGCCTCCCCAGGAAAAGCGTGCATTTCCTGGCCCCTGGGGACCCTCTACACCTTGCACAAGCCCGTGGAAACCCCAGCTTTCAAACCGGACCCTTGGCCTAGTCCATGTGTCTTACCCCAGGGTCTGGGCTCTGTGACCTGCAGTGCAGGTCTGAGCCCCCAGTGCAGCCGTGACATGGGGCCAGCGGGGATCCTGGGGGTTAGGCAAATGGGTCCTGATGGGTCAAGAGGGATTCCTATAACTTGTTTCACTCTTGGCCTGAGCTTTGTGAACAGAAATCTTAGGGACAAGGGGCAGGGTCTCGCCCTGCTGCCTGCTGAAGGCTCCAGCTGTGTCTGGAGACAGAGGGAGGAGCCCGCAGGAGAGGAGTGCAGGGCTGGGAGCCTGCTCGGGGTGTGGCCTGCCTGTCCCCCAGGCCCCTGCGAACAGCAGGCCACGGAAGCCAAGCGGCTGTGATGATCTGGAAACTCAGAAACTCCTGGCCACGGGGCATCGGACTGCTGTCAGACAAACTGGGTTTGTGTTCTTGCTCTCCACGACTCATCGGTGTGTGAGTTCTCAACGGTGTCAGCCATAAAATGGGACAATTATTCCCCTCTCTCTCCTCCCTCTCCAGCCTCACTAACCCCGGCATTCCCAGGACCCACCATGGTGCTTGGTGCGCATGGGAGGGCCCTCCTGTGTAAGCGTCACCACCTGGGAGCAGTGGCCAGGATGCCCGGGCCCTCTGTCGCCTGCGTGTAGGGTGGTGTCAGGACACTGCTGGGCTGCCACCTCTGTCTGAGGTTCCAGAGAGCGAGGGGACACCCCACACCGTGAACGTCCTGCAGGGTCCCAGAGCAGGCTCTGGAGTGCAGCCGCTGGGTCACCATGGGCAATGACCTGAATTACTCCTGGGCCTCAGTTTCCTCATCTGTAGAATGGGTAACTTAATATTACAGAGGAGATAGGGCTGCCATGGGGTTTAATGGAGACGATCCGTCCGAGTGCTCGGCACAGCACCGCTCCCGTTCTTACTGTGACTATCGCCAGCATCGTTATTATAGAGCCTGGACCAGCAGGGAAGGACGCTGGTGTCCCGCTGCTCTCTCCCAGGGCGGGAGGAGGCCGACCTCCGGGGCGGGACTCACCGTGGCATTGACGGTGAGCTGGTAGGCCTGCGTGGTCTCGTAGTCCAGCTCCCGGACCACTGTGACAATGCCACGGGCGCTGTCGATGGCAAAGAATGGGGAGGAAGGCTGGAAGGAGTAGAGGACGCTGCCCCCCGCACCCAGGTCGGGGTCCGTGGCGTTCACAATGAAGATGGGCGTCCCCACCGGCGTGTTCTGGGGGTGAAGCAAAGCAAACAAAAGGGTGAGCGGTGCTCGGAGCAGCTGACTTTGTCAGTGACTATTCCCCCAAAGCCCATTAACCACGTCCCTCCAGCCAACCAGACCTGCGGCTTTGTCATTTTTATTCTAAGAGGGTTCAGAGGAATTTAAAATGCAGTATCTGTTTTTTTTCCCCCCTTTTTGATGGCCTCCTGGTGGCTCTAACAGCACCAGTTCTAAAGATGATCTGCTCATCCCGGCGTTCTGGATGAGGGTCTTTTGGTCCCCAAACTCGTTTCTTGGTGGTGTCGCTTCCTCTGCGGAGTGCCCCTGGCTGCCCATGCCTCAGGCCCGGGGCTGCTCTGGGGGGGGGGCCCTGGGAGTCTGCGTGTCGGGAGGCCTCACGGGCGGGGAGCTGAGAGGTGTGTGCCACAGGCAGGTGGCGGGGGGCCTTGAGGGCTTTGCCTGGCCCCACAGAGGTTCCTTGGATTGCCCTGGGGTAGGGCATCCACATGCCATCCCTGGGCCACGGCAGCCTGCCACAAGAGGCCCACAAGACCCACTTGAATGGTACCACCACCTGGGAGCCTACCATGATTCCCTCTGCTACACTCTGTGTATAGACCCCTGCTCTCTTCTGACTTGGGGTCTCTGGTTAAATGTAACTTCCTCATGGAGCCTTCCCGACCCCTAAGGCAGGTCAGCCTCTGCCATGCCCCCACCGTCCACCACTGTTTGTACTAAGGTTCCCACCTCGCCCAGGGGATTTTCATCATCCGCCTATCTTCTGTAATTCCTTGGTCAGTGCTGTCTTCCCTCACAGCACGGGTGCCCCAAGGAAGCCACAGGGCTCCAGCTGCCTAGACTAGCACCGTGCCTGGCATGTGGCAGGTGTTCCAGCCATAGCCTTTCTGAAGCCACTGAGAGCCTTCAGCGCATGCTCAGGCTCTGTGCGCATCTCTGCCCAACTGCTGGCTCTCATCACCGCAGCGCCCACCACAGTGCTCGACATGGAAGCCGTGCCTGTGGAATACTGGGTGAGGGGATTTATTCATAATTTAGCAGGCTCTCGGCACACCAGGAGATAGGCGATCCGATGAGGCTCTTCACAGAGATAAAGGGTATAAACAATCCCTGCTCCTGCTGACTGAGTGTCCTTTGAAAAGGAAGCTAAGGCTCAGAGAGGTTAAGTAACTTGCCCAGGTCACACAGCTAGGCAGTGGGAGAAGAGGGCCTGGAGTTCAGGGCTGGCTAATTCTAAGTGACTGATCTTATGCTCTGTACCGAATACTTCTCTAGAACGTTGATGGCAGTTCTTTCCCTACCTCCTCTGTCTGGTGCTGAGCTCAACCGCCCCCAGGGGTATTACTTCCCAGCCAGCAGCATGGGACGAGCCCGTTAGGTCCCTCACCGCACAGATAATATTCCTGGCCCTGTGTTTATTCCCGCTGGGATGATGATTGGGTCCCTTCGGACATCCGTAGGGCTCCTTTTAAGGAGGGCTCCCCACACTGCTGCCTTCTCCCTCTGCTGCTGGCCATGACCTGGGCCCTGTGTCATTGCTTTGAGCAGCTTCTGTCCCTGGGGCATGCTGGCAGCCCTGTCCCGGGATCATCTGCTTGAGGCAAGGGTATTCTTTATAAGACCGCCCTGTTGGCCTGGAAAGGGCCTCTGGAGAACAAGGCTATGGAGCTGCCTCTGTTTCTTTCTGAGTGTGCTCACTCGCCCCCATCACTAGGCAAGTGCCGGGCTGAAGGGACGGGCTCCTAATCTATCTTCGCACTGATACAGAGGACGGGAGGCCCCTCTCCTCCACACCATCCATGACTCCCCAGTGCCCCTTGCATAGAACACAGGCCCACATGGTCTCGCCCTGTCTCCTCCTTCACACTTTATTTCCCGGCAGGCATCCCTTCTTGGCCTCTTGGCTAAGATCATGTGCAGCATCTATTAGTATTGGTTTAATATTTTCTGGTAGGTAGAGCTATTTGTACTTCTCAAACCCAGCAGGCTGCCTCGCACCTTGGGGCTTCTGAACCTCCTTTTCCTTTGCTAGGCCCTCCCTCCTCAGCTCGGTGGCTTGGAAAACAGATGCTCTCTTTCCCTCCAGAAGAGAATCAAGGGTGCAAGGGGACAGAGCGGACAAGTGCCAGGATTTCAGGGATCGACAGACTCTGTCGGAACCCCAGCCTTGCTGTGTGTCTTTGGGTTACTTAGTCTCTCTGATCCTTAATCCCTTCTCTGTCCGCTTAGGTTAATAATATCCCACAGGGTTAGGGTGAAGAGAACATGAGCTCCTGAGTGCAAACTCCCCAGCATATAATAAATGCTCAGAAATGGGCAGTTGTAACGTTGTCATCTTGTGCCTTCTGGAGGACTGCAGACAAGAATGCCTTCGAGGAGAGGGCAGGCAGGTGTCAAGAAGCACTATGAATATTAATGATAATACTGTGCTGGGCATTCCCTGTCCGCACCCCCCCATATCACTGAGTACCCTGCTCTGTCTCCTCCTCCCCACCCTAGGGAGACCTCAGTGGATTGCATCCAGCCCCAGGTTTCCTTGCAGGCTGGCTTCTGCCCAGGGAAGGTGCTAGTAGGAGCTCAGAGTTTGGGAAAGAGTCAGGAAGAGAGTTTGGGTATTACTTTTCCACTCCTTCCAGCTCCAAGCCAGTAGCCCCTGCTCCTTGGCTGCAGCCTTCAGTGGGCTCCCTAAGCCCCACAATCCTCTCCTCTTCCCCCTTCAGCCTTAGGGGCTGCCGCTGCTCCCAGGTGCCTCAATATCCCTTAATGTCCCGTAGCCCTGCCCACCCTCTGTCAGGGTCTCTTCACTGAAATGCCTTTGTTGGAACTGAGATGAACTGTTTCCTGGGGGACTTGATGGGTGCAGGCACTCTGCAGATACACACCCTGGGCCCCCAGGTGCAGAGCCCCGAAGTCTGAGCTCCCCTGGTGCTGGGCTCGGTGGAGTCAGCCCCCGCCCCAACGAGCTGCCACGTTGGCACTGGTCTTGGGGAGATCTTTAAGTCTCTCAGCTAAACTACAGTTCTCCTGCTTCCCCCTGCCCTGTCTAGATCCTATGTGCACATCACACGTGAACACGGGTGTCAGCCCCACACTCCAGAACAAAACATTCCAGTAGGGCCTGGGGTTTCTGCCACGAGAGGGAAGGACATGTCCCAATTTCAGAGCAGCCAGTCCCCCGGGAGGCAGCTCAAAAGCATGTCAGAGCACATCCCACAAGGAGCCAGTGCCCAGAGGAGAGGGATGGCTCCCGCGAGAATGTCAGCTCTCCAGCCCCCTGCCTCGGGGAGGAGGGGACATTTCACTCATGCATACCTCATGGTCTGGGGCAAAGGCTCTCTGGGCAACTGATCAGACGATTTAAAAGCAAGATCCAAGAAGACAGGGAGAAAGGGGGAAAAGAAGGAATTGTCCTGTGTCTGACCTTCTTAGATTATGTTTCATGCCCTGCAGTGAAAACCCATTTAATTTCTGCATAACTTAGAAAAGGTTTTAAATGGGCCTGGCAAAGAGCCATTCATATACTTAGAAGGGACAAGCCATTGGAGAGAAAAGAATGCTGACTTCCTGCATTTCAGGTCCTGGGTGCCATGCTCGGATCGGGGGATAAGGGAGCGCAGCACTCATCAGCACCTACACTGGGGGGCTTTTCCAAGCACCCAGCTGCTGCTTCATGCAAATGTGCAGATGTGTCCCTTTAAAGGTCTACACCTTCCACGTAAGCAGATTTCCTCTATGGGGTCAGGTGTATCTGGGCTTCCGAGTATACTGCAGGCAGTAGAACTTGGTGGCTCAAAGCATGGCCTCTGAGTCAGACTCCCTAAGTTTGAGTCTGAGCCTTTCTACGTACCGGCTGGAGACCTCAAGCATATGCTGAGCTCCCCTGGTGCTGAGCTTACTCTTTCAGCCTCAGTTTCCCTGTGTAAAGGAGAATGTAAAAATGGAGCTGTTAACAGTACCTACCCCCAGGGTTGTGAGAAAGAATTACGTGAGACAAGGTGTGGGGGGAAAAAACAACTTCTCACTGAGCCAGGCACTTGGCAATATTGAGCAATACTCAATAAATGGCCGTTGCAATTATTATTATGGTAATAAAATACCATCACAAGCAGCGCGAGATGAGTTCTATTTAAAGGGGGGTATTAAAAACAGCCAATCAATCTCTTTATCATGAACTTAAACAAATGGGCATTTTAAAATTCAGAAAGAGACCGTCTCTGTTGATTAGTTCATGGCTGCTGCAGAGGGGCTGGGCGGGGGGAGAACTTCGGGAGACCCTCCCCAGGGGGATGGGAGGGCCTGAGGAAGGCATGGGAGGGGCGCCTGGAGGCAGCTCCTGAACACGGAGGCCAGGCCTGACCCTGCATCGCTCAGGGATGGTCTGAGTGTCGGAGCAGGAAGGAGCCTTGGGGATTATCTAGTCCTGTCTCCCCAGATTATTGATGATAAGAGTGAGGGGCTGTGCCTGGCTCTAGGTCTCCCAGGAGGTGAAAGGCAGAGCCACGACTGCAAATATAATGCTTTGCCTTATATATAGCACTTTATTTACGCCACCCAGAGATGCTAACCACTGCCTCCCTGCCCACACTTTTCCCAAGTAAAGATGCTCTTTATACCCACAGTTCTGGGCGGCCAAGTTTGTACCAAGTGACTTCAGACCTAGGCCACATCTGATTGGTCCAGGGATAATCACCTGACTCAAATGGGCCAATCAGATGGGGCCTGGCCCCGTTAAGTCCATCCTACGCAGAACCTGAAAAAGAAGGTTCTTACTATCTGGTTAGGGCTGGAATGGGCACCATGGCAAGCCAAGCGCCACACAGAAGCCACCATTTCCGGGGTGGCAGAGAAGCCATGGGTGGGCCGAGGAAGCCCAGCTGCAGTGACGGGAAATGGAGCACAGTGAGGGAGAAAAGCAGAGACACACGCCTCTGAGGGCCTCCCCTGCCCTGGTCTTCACAGGCCCTGTCTGGACTTCACTTCCTGTCCCTGGC